GCCTGCCGGTGAGTTGTGCATCTGTGTCTTGTCCAAAAGAATGTACAGTCGACTCCTGATATCACGAACACCATTGGTGCAGGAGAATTTGTTCTTTATAGCCGAAGTTCGTTATAACAGAAACGCACTCACACCATTCAAGCAGCAAGTCATGACTGGCAAGTGGTCCATGACAGTATGAATGCACTTGGTTTACATGCGGCTCTACAAGATTTGGATCGTTATAAACGATAACTGTTCGCTATAAATGGTCAATTTTGTACGGGTTCAAACATGGACATGGACAAGAGTTTGCTATTTCACGAAATCCGCTATATGCGAGTTCGTTATAACTGGAGTCGACTATGTGCTGGTCAAGATCAGGAATGGTAACAGCTGAACATTCACGACAGGACCCACGTGGGCTGGGTTCATACTCTATTTCATGTGACTAACCTTGAATGACATGCAGACAGTAGAACCAACATGGCCGACATCATGTGACTAACCTTGAATGGCATGCAGACAGTGGAACCAACATGGCCGACATCATGTGACTAACCTTGAATGGCATGCAGACAGTGGAACCAACGTGGCCGACATCATGTGACTAACCTTGAATGACATGCAGACAGTGGAACCAACATGGCTGACAGTGGCGGGTTTAGGGGGGGGCGCGGGGGCGCGCGCCCCCCCCCTCAAAAATTTCGACCTAGGTTTCGAAAAATAATACAGGGCGCGCGCCATGCCATGCCATGCGCCAGGTCGAGCTAGACTAGACTACAGTCCATTCAGAAAAAAATGAACTTCTAGCTTTTGGCCATAAATGGGTCAAACGTTGAGTTTTTTTAGAATTTTTTTCTGCAATCCCATATGGAATCCTCTTCCAATTATGTTTCTGAAGTTTTTTTGTCCAAAAAGCAAGCCATAGCAAGAATAGGATTTCGGCCAGGTTTTGCCCCAAAAGCACTGAATTGGGAAAAACCATCAAAATCCAGGCCGTTTGACCCCGCCTGCAACAGTGCATTCTGCGGTTCGAACCCCAGTTCAGGCACCCTTTTTGGACCCTTTTTCAAATTTCAAAGTTCGCAGCACTGCACTGTGTACGATGAAATCACGAAAAATCGCCAAATACGGGAGCTCGCCAGAGCCAGGACCCATTTTTTTATGAATGGACTGTAGGCTCGGGGCGCGCGCGGCCTGAAACGATTGTCCAAAAGCGGTTGCACGGTGCGGTGCTCGAGCTGGTGTTGATTGACAGATTGTACACACTACAGACTACAGTACACTGTACAGTCTACAGAGCTAGAGTAGAGTAGAGTCTACGTACAGTGAGCATGCACGGCTACAGAAACACGGTGACCTGACTGTGTACTGTTGTACAGTGTGATCCCTGCTGGGACGCGCTCGACGCGTCTTCAACGGTACAAACATCGAAGAAAAGTCTTCGATCGAGTCAACCAAAACACGATTCGAATGCCGAGGGCTCAGGCGATCATCCTCGTTCGAATCGTGTTTTGGTTGACTCGAAGGCTTTTCTTCGATGTCTCAGGGACATCCCAAAAGGCCAAGCTCTAGCCAGCAGAGCCTGGAATTTTTGTAAAGCGTTCCTGTGGCGGCGCAACTCCTGCTGCCGCTCCAACAGGAAAAACAGTGGGAGTGATGAAGTCGCTGTTATTCCAGACAATCCAGTTGAACTTTCGGAGCGGACTGACAGTCAAACTCCGCCAGACGTGGAAGAACCTGTTGTCAGCGAGCAGCCAGAACATAAAGAACAGCGCACAGTGACAAGTACCGCTGCCTATGTAAAGGATACTTTGAGAGCGGTGAGAAATTGTTGGACTCGCAAATTTGAAGTTTACAATGTACATTTTGTTGCTGCGTGTACAGAAATACTGCTCGTGGTGTGTGAGATTTACGGCTTGTTGTTGTTGTTGTTGTTGTTGTTGTTGTTGTTGTTGTTGTTGTTGTTGTTGTTGTTGTTGTTGTTGTTGTTGTTGTTGTTGTTGTTGTTGTTGTTGTTGTTGTTGTTGTTGTTGTTGTTGTTGTTGTTGTTGTTGTTGTTGTTGTTGTTGTTGTTGTTGTTGTTGTTGTTGTTGTTGTTGTTGTTGTTGTTGTTGTTGTTGTTGTTGTTGTTGTTGTTGTTGTTGTTGTTGTTGTTGTTGTTGTTGTTGTTGTTGTTGTTGTTGTTGTTGTTGTTGTATTTTACTTCACCAAATGCCGGAACAGGCAGAGATGCCTTCTCACCTGCCCATAGGACAGGTTCTCACAGAATGATGAAGGGATGATATGCAAGGGAAAACAAGAAATGATAATAATAATAATATAACTTATAAGACAAAAAGGACCAAAAGAAGAAAGGGAAAAATTTATATCAAGAACAATTTCATGGAGTCAGAAATAGAAACTAATTTCATGGAGTCAAAGAATTGAAAGACAATCTCATGGAGTCAGGAACACGTGGTTGATTTTATAGACATGCATGCACAAATGATTGATAGATGAGAAGGTTGGAATTTATGGCAGATAATAAAAGTTTAACGAGGACAAAGTAAGTATATCAATGGCAGAAAGAGCTTTTCGGAAGGGACCAGGGACACGTATCACTCTAAAATCAGAGGGGAGAGCGTTCCAGAGAATGCTTCCCCAAAACATCATGCTCGATCGTACCGCAGTCCCACGGAGAAAGGGAACTTGAAGCAAGTAATTAGTTCGACACTTGTCCCCGTGTGGTGCGCTGATCCTCCGGAACAGTCTCTGGGGCCGTTCGGGTGAATAACTGTCGAAGAAGGGGCTACAGGAGGAGCTTCTTGACATTGGTTTTCAAAATGGCTGATCTGGGACAGTAGCATGATGTCATCTACCCCCACCCCATCCCGCCTTGATCCCGGCCGCAACCCCCCCCCTCAGCCAAATCCTGGACACGCCACTGGCTGACATCATGTGACTAACCTTGAATGGCATGCAGACAGTGGAACCAACATGGCCGACATCATGTGACTAACCTTGAATGGCATGCAGACAGTGGAACCAACATGGCTACCGACGTCATGTGACCCATAGATGCAGGGTTTGTGTGGACTGTGGAGTTGCAACCAATATGGCTGCCCCAGTTATGTGACCAAATTTGTGTAGAAAGTGATCAGGTCATGTGCACAGTGGAACCAACATGGTCGACATCATGTGATCCATACATGTACATGTAGATGCACTGATGCATGGGTTAGGTGGAGCTGGAGCGAATGCGGGGGCATCCCGTACAGTCATGTACTACAGCGGCGTCGCACACGGTACGGTCACTACGGTATTGACCGCACCACTATTTGCCACAAGTACCCCGTGAATCAATACAATGCACTGATTTGGGCTCTAATTTTCCAAAATGTTCGGCTCATCCACCCGGTCTCCCCCACGAGTAAATTGTACTTGAGATGGCTGACCGTACCACACTAAAATACCTTCCGACGTCCCTGTACTAGATGTCCAATGGCTCTTTTGGGCAAGTCATTGACGTGGAGTTGACATTGCACACACACGTGCAGATGCGATGATAGACAATGGGAGTGACATTTCTTTCAGCTGCCAAAAACTCCATGGTGCGTTTTATACATAAACACTTTCTTCTTGGACCAGAGTAATGTGCATTGGGTGCGTATGGTGTGTATTTGTATGTGTGTGTGTGTGTGTGTGCGTGCGTGTGTGTGTGTGTGCGTTTGTGTGTGCACGCACATGCGTGTGCACTTTTTCAATATCAACCATAATCTCTATTGATACATGTCCATGTGTGTGTGCACGTGCGTTGTGCCAACGGATGTGCGTACGGCACTCACGGCGGCTCTCTTCAACTGTTTCAGATTGTGCAGTACGAGAGGTACGATAGTAGTGTGGACTGGTGGGCACTGGGGGCCGTCATCTACGAGTTACTCTGCGGACAGGTCAGTCGGGTTAACACTTGATCTTTTCAGCCCGGCTGTTGGGGTGGGCTTGATTGTAATGATGATGATTCTCTCCTTCCAACCCGGAAAATTTTATGTTTTCGATAAGAAACGATTCAAGGCCTCTGGCTTCTCAATACTATGCGGGCATGATACTCGAAAGCCTCCTGTACGGGCAAAGCAGAGCACAATCACCATGATCATCACCATGTATCAGTACAGTAAATAGTTTAACCCAACACATGGGAGCATGATGATGATAATAATGATGATGATGATGATGATGATGATGATGATGATGATGATCAACAAGTGGACTTTTCCCGTGATGATGATCAAGGGCGTCACACACGGTACGACCACTACGACCTTGGTCGTACCACTTTTCGTCCAGGATGGTCCGCGCAATTCATCCAAAAAACAAAAAAAAAGAGCACTGCCTGTTGGACGAAAAATTCAACATTTTTCCCCCGGGGACGGCCCCGACTCCCGGTCATACCACTCCACACTGCCTTATGACGCCCCTGATGATGATGATGATGATGATGATGATGATGATGATGATGATGTGCATCATGCGTCCATTGGGGAGTTTAGCATTGCAGCAGCCGATTCCACTGTAGCTTAGCCAGAGCACGCGAAAAGGGTGCTTAGCCTCAAATCTTGAAATTGGATTCTTCAGTGCACCACATACCCTGCAAGCTTCAGAAATCATTAAAAAATCAATTACAGTCAACTTCGCTAATAACGACTGCGGATATAACGACAATTCGCGAATAACGACAGAATTTCCATGCCCAGAGCAAAGTCCCATCTTACTGTAATATATGTATAATGAGACTTCGGGTATAACGGCACTTTGCGAATAAGGACACTTTTCTGATGCCCCGCCAAGTGTCGTTATACGCAAAGTTGACTGTAGTCAAAAACTCCCCGTAATACCCAAGTTACAAGCAGTTTTGTTGGTTGTTGCGGTCCGACAGTCCCAAACACAAACGTGCGACTTCAAGTGCGTTTTTCTCACTTGAGCATGCAGTCACCTACGCACCCACGTTTTCGCTGGCCCTTAGGTTGACTGGCTGGTTCATGCTGTCCTAATCTCTGTGAGGCCGCCGGTTCACGTATAGTTAGCAGTGATGGCTTTTGAATGTGTGCACGGGACGGGGGGGGGGGGAGGGTCCTGTCTTATTCTATACGGCACCGTTCAATGTTCAAGTTTTTTACACTCTTGCATGCTCCCTCCTAGGAAATTAGGCTGTAACGGAATCTCAGCCATTCCGTTCCCCGGGACGCAGGACACAAAGGACAAGACTTGTTTGTTACATTATTTATATTGACAAGACGGAAATGGAGACAACACTCAAAGGGACGAACACGAAGACTGACAAAAGGACTCTCGACTACAACATCGCGCATGCTCATATCACACATGCACGCGACTAGAGGAGACAGTTTGGGGAATGCCATCACACAGGAAAACAACACATCATTTCACAACACCTGCCCCCTTGATGACATTCCACAAAATAATAAACCGACACCACGTTCCACATGCACAACGGCAAAAGGAACCACAGCAGAACAGAAAAACGAAAACCAACCATCAACCTAGAGCCGACGCTCTAAAATAATATCCGGGCCACGAAACAGGGCCAAACAAAAACCTAGAGTCGACGCTCTACAACCAGGCCACGCCACACAAGGCCAACCAAAACACGGGAGCCGAAGCTCCAACAAAATAATAACATGCGCACAGCCGCACCAAATAAATCTACAACAAAAACAATGGAGAACAACAGAACGAATAGAAGAGCAACAGACCGACAACAACCAAACTGAAACAACACAGCAACAAGCAACGAACTGAACAGAGAGAGAACAACACAGCGAGCAAGACAACAACAAGACGAACAACAAGGACGACACACAGTCGGTGACGCCAGACTCGTCCACTGTCCTCTGGCGAGCCACGGCCACACGCTCCGTCGCGGTTCCTGCCGTCTCAGGCTCCAGTCTACAGTTCTAGTCCACCACCTTCTCTGCCTCCTCTCCGCGTCGTCTTCCGCTCCCACCAGCTCTTCACCTCCTCCGCTCCCACGCTCTGCTTACTGCAAAGTAACAGTTACTTCGTTGTTGACGACGACTACGAACAGGGCTCACTACAAACTTACTCATCCTCTGCGTCCCGGGTTTCGGCACCACGTTGTAACGGAATCACAGTCATTCCGTTCCCCGGGACGCAGGACACAAAGGACAGGACTGGTTTGTTACATTATGTTATATTTACATGACGGAAAAGCAAACTGCTCTGACAGAGACGAACAAGAAGACTGACAAAAGGACTCTCGACTACAAAATCGCGCATGCTCATATCACACATGCACGCGACTAGACGAGACAGTTTGGGGAATGCCATCACACAGGAAAACAACACATCATTTCACAACAAGGCCATCTGCCTGGCACAGCTCTGTTATTTGTTGTTTTCTCTCCACAACTGAACAATTGAAAGCCAGAGAAAAGAGCAGTACGAGGCAGGTGGCCTGATACTTTGAAATTCTCTCTAAATTCGTAATTGCAATTTGTATGTTTCCTCTAGCTACTATTCCACTGATTGATGAGACGACTACAACCCGCATGCTTCACGCCGTTGGTGAAAACCCGAATGCACAGCGCTGCTTGATGAAATCCGATGACATGCGTCCAGTTAGTGCCCTGCACCATTTCGCAGCCCAGTGTTCACCGGGCTAGCTAGGGCTGCACAGCGCCCGCCACACGTATACCGAGGTGACGACTGAAATCCGACCCCTGCATTTCGTACTCGAGTGCGGGCACTAGCGGTGTCTATTTCGTAGTGTTACAATCCCATGCTGGGTTTTGCAATGCGAGCGCACCGCTCCAGGGGTCGGATTTCAGTTGCCAGAACTTCACTTGACTCGCTCATTCGGACTTCCATTGAGCTGCACTGTAGTACGGTGACACCTGTCTAAGACGACCGCTCAAGGGACCTTCAAAACATGGTCTCTGTTACCAGGTGGTCTCCTTATCCAGGGTCATTTGACTGGAAATAACATCCTTTGGTCCTGGTTGTAGTGGTCCTCCGGACAGGTGGTGGTCGCCTTATCAGAGTGGTCACCTTATCAGAGTGGTCACCTTATCAGAGTGGTCTCCTTGGCAGGTTTTACTGTACAACAAGTATCAACCTGCAGTCTTAAAGGCAAGTTGTGTGTGTGTGTGTGTGTGTGTGTGTGTGTGTGTGTGTGTGCGTGTGTGTGCGTGCGTGCGTGTGTGTGTGCGTGCGTGTGTGTGTGCGTGTGCTTGTGTGCAGCCGCCGTTCGAAGGTGACGATGAGGATGAGGTTGTGGGTAAGATCATCGAAGGCAACATCATCTTCCCGCGTCACATCTCCGAGGAGGCCAAGTCCATCTGTGAGCAGGTAAGGCATGCGGATGGTACATTCTGTTGCCCAGCGTTGTTGATGTGGCTTTGTGGTGACTCTTCTTACATTTGTGTGTGTGTGTCTTGTTCGGTTTATGACCTTCCTTGAGGTGGTTATGTATCTGCAGTTCTCTTGACACAGGTCATTTCATTGCTTATGTCCATGTGTGTGTGTGTGTGTGTGTGTGTGTGTGTGTGTGTGTGTGTGTGTGTGTCCATGTGTGTGTGTCCATGTGTGTGTGTGTGTGTCCATGTGTGTGTGTGTGTCCATGTGTGTGTGTGTGTGTCCATGTGTGTGTGTGTGTCCATGTGTGTGTGTGTGTTTGTGTGTGTGTGTGTGTGTGTGTGTGTGTGTGTGTGTGTGTGTGTGTGTGTGTGTGTGTGTACGTGTGTACGTATGAAAAGACCAAAAATAGGGATTCACTGGCCAGAAAATGTCACTGCAAATAGCTGTATGGTGTAGACCAGGCTGAATAGTGACGGTCAATTCTTCAGCCTTGCAAGCTGTTGAATGGTGTAATCCCAGCACAAGTTGCTATGGCTTCTGCCGTAGCATTGCTATCATCGCCTCCGGCGATGGGCGTCAAAGGTCAAAGGTCAAGGTGTACGTGCTCGTGCATATGTCACTTTGTGCTTGTGTGTGGGGGGGGGGGGGTCTGTGCTAAGAATCTTATGCGGTTAGAGGGCTAGCATAGGTATGTCTTGAAGGGTTGGGGGGGGGGGGGGGGGGGGGGAGAGAAGAGGCTAAGTGCTGGCTTCAATGTTTGTTCGTTCAGATACTTACCTACGTTATCCTGCTGAAGTGTTATGCCTCTGTCACCTCTGCCCCCACCCCCTTTTTCTCCCAGTACACACGCTCACTGTTGCTAGTGTACTGTAGTGTTGGCTATGCCATCTGATCAGTGTTACTTTCAGACACGAAACTCGCAGCAACAGCGAGGAAGCACGGTTGCCGTTTGAGAATTGTTTTGCTTACGGTACTGTCGGGCACCGAAGAACTGGGAGGGGGGGGGGGGTCAGGGTTCTAGCCTAGCCCGTTCTTTTTTTTAGCGAACACAGCAGTTTCGTTCTTATTCGATGGCACAGTCTTACATGTACATTTCTGCAGAGTTATACGCCTGAGTGTACATTATAGTGTACATTTACGGTTTCCGTTCTTATCTGCAAAAAATCCAGCCTACGCTTTTCTTAAAAATTGTTGAAATTCTAGCCTGGCCCTTCTTCGACGCCCGACAATACTGTACGTTATCATGTAAGCCGACCACACAAGGGACCTTCAAAATGCGGTCCCCATGTACAGATTGTCTCCATATCCAGGGTCATTTGACTGGAAATAACACCCCTTGGTCCTGGTTGTAGTGGTCCTCCAGGACAGGTGGTCGCCTTATCAGAGTGGTCTTTTAGGACAGGTGGTCACCTTATCAGAGTGGTCTCCTTGACAGGTTTTACTGTAGCTCTGTTCATTAGTGATGGTGGTGTGCCTGTGAATTCTAGTTCATGAAGAAGAACCCAAAGGCTCGCCTGGGTGCGGGCATGAATGGTCAGGACGACATCAAGAGCCACCCGTTCTACCACACGATGGACTGGACTAAGCTGATGAGCAGAGAGATGCCGCCGCCGTTCAAGCCTGTCACGGTATGGTGCTGCTAGCGAGGTGTAAAGTGGTTGTCGCAGCATTGTCTTTCTCCGTATTGTCTCTCTCTGTGTTGTCTCTGTCCGTAGTCTCTCTCTCTCTCTCTCTCTCTCTCTCTCTCTCTCTCTCTCTCTCTCTCTCTCTCTCTCTCTCTCTCTCTCTCTCTCTCTCTCTCTCTCTCTCTCTCTCTCTCTCATCTGTATTGTAACGTGCATGCTCGTTGTAAATAAATCAGTCCTGGTCGTATCCCGCCGCGGGACGCAAGGTGTATTGATTTTCATAATTATTAACAGTAGCACCTGCATTGGTCAGAGTTTCACGGTTTTACCAAAAAGTTCAGTGAAAATCATTCTCCATGTTGTTTTGTGTGTGCGAGGAGGCCCTCTGCCACGGGTGCTCTTTCCCACAGCTGACCGAATTGCCACTCTCGTTGTGTATGTATGTACTGTAGTACATGTACTTGTGGATGTGTGAGAGCTTCTTTGTTGGCAATCAAAACTGACTGAAGAAGTCAGGAAAAGAAGCGACAATAAAGAACACACCAGATGCCATATTTGCAACTGAAAATATTTTGCGAGAAATCATTTCTCGCCTATCTCGCAGCGCTCCGCCGGCGAGACATACAACTTCTTTGTTGGCACAATGAATGTGATGCGTGCGTGCAAGGGGCAAACTGCTTCCAGAGGCAGTCTGCTTGTACAGTTGTAAAAGGAAAAAAAAATTAGCCGGATTCGCGGCCGCATCACCTGACGTGTCCAGGAACACATCGAGCAAACAGTTGTGCTCGGTGAGATCCGATCCGAAGTGCACATTTGGTGCCACCAACTTAATTGCGCGGCCCTTGATGCCCTAGCTGGGAGACGTACGAATGCGGCTGGACGTACACATGTACACGTGCAGTGCTGTAATCGAAACTGGTCCAGGGCGTCTGTTTTCTGGTCTTTGGGTCGGATTTCAGTGAGCACAACACTCTACAGTGCTGTTCAATGAGTCGCGGTGTCACTCAAGTTTGCGCCTTGCGTCATTCCGCAGCCCAGTGTTCGCAGGTCTCGGGCTGCGGAACGCCGGGCGGGTACAGTCAGACCTCGCATAACTACACACGTCCGCTTTCCAGAAAAATGTCCGGATAGGCGAGGGAACCGGATAATCGAACACACATACTGTATGTGTGCATGGCATATGCTGTAAATCGGTAACCAGCAATTTTCTACCGGATGGCGAGGGATCCGGATAATCGAGGACCGGATAAGCGAGGTCTGACTGTACTTGAGTGACGCGACTGGATTTCATTGAGCTGTGCTGTAGTTAGACATCACACATGAACCGAGTATGTTGTTCTATTGTGGAACTGCAGAAAAGCCCAAAGGGCGTGGACAACTTTGACAAGGAGTTCATCTCGACGCTGACGACGAAGAACACACCATGCGACACGACCGTCATCAATCAGCTCAAGCAGACGGAGTTCTTCGGCTTCACGTACGTCAACCTGGACTTCTTCGACGAGGAGCAGGAGCAGGAGGCGCACGGCCGCAGTGGCGACACCATCGTTGCAGCGATCACCCGCCGCATTTCCGGCAGCGACTCGGACCAGGCGTTCTCGCCCACCAGCCCCCTGGAGCCGCTCAGGGAGGAGAGTGGCGCCGCCGCCTCCAACACCACTAACGCCACTGCTGCCAACGCCACTGCTGCTGCTGCTGCTACCTAGCGTGTTGGCCTGGCGTGCTGCTGTTTCACGGCCGTGTATATCATACAATGCCTGCCATGTTCTGTGACTCTGTGCTGGCGTGCTGCTGTTTCACGGCCGTGTATATCATACAATGCCTGCCATGTTCGTGTGACTCTGTGCTGGCGTGTGGGGTACATTCCTCCGCGCGCGCATCGCTTCAAGAACCATTTCCTGGGACATCATGCATTTGCAGTCGGTTCCGACTAGCCGCTCCACTCCTATTATTATATTGCTCAATTTCCCACTGGTGTGCCTACTGCCAGTAGTTGTAGTAACTTATCATTAGATTAGTACTAGCTGTTGTCATTGTAATATTTGTACTAGCTGCTGGTATCCATTGTACTGCCTGTTGGCATGGTATTATGTGTACTGGCTGTTGTCATGGTAGCATTTGAAGTGCTCCGGTTAATGTTTTTGCTCGGCATGTCGCTGCTTCGGCTGCACCTACTATTGCCGCCACACGCCCTTTCCTGAAGTTGCCGAGAGCCCTGCATCGGAATTCCTAGTGCCGATTTTTATTTGGAACACACTGCTAGCACTGCGTCTTTCGTTTTGTTTTTGTTTTCATGACGTCGGCGTGTCCTACAAGGAATTTCTGACGCCTTGCATGCCGTGGTACACCGGTGATGGATTGCCGTTAGCTGTCAACTTGAGATCTCCTCATAAACGATTTTGCAGGTCAAATGAATTGTTCCGGTTGTGGTTCTGTGGTTATCTTCAATGCCGTTAAATTGTTAAAAAATTGTTTCAGTGCTTCCATTTCAAAATTCCTTGCTCTGCACTTGTATTGTGTGTATTGTGTGTATGGTGTGTATTGTGGTGGTACACTGTACTAGAGTATAACCTGTAACTAAGGCCATGGTAAAAAACAAAGTTGATTCTCAGGTCATGAGCCTGTGAAAATCGATGCCAGCGAGCGATTTTTTATTTTATTTCCCACAATTTTTTATTATTTCCAAAGATAGGGTCACACATACATGTAATGACTATGTACATGGTCACATGTTCATAATATTCAGGCCAGGGAGTAGAAAAATACCGGTATTTTACTACTCCCTGATTCATGCCTTTCGCATTGACCGTTTTCATGCATATGCAAGCATAGAAATTAAAACAAATCGCCGGTGCGCCGCCAAAAATCGGTGCGCGCGTACTTGAGAATCAAAGTTTACCATGGCCTAACGAGTAACGACCACTCCTTGGGGCCAGAAAATAAGATGCACGTTATTTTCGACGTGACGCGCAATTTCACGTCAAATTTGGCGTAAAACTCCAAGTTTCGACGTGAGCTGCAGGTCACTCGCGTTGTTTTTCGACGCGCGAGTCAAGTAACGCGAGCTGAACTTTCGCGTCATGTCAGAAATAACGTGCATCTTAGGGTGCGTTGGAATTGTCACTCTTTGACTTTTCGAGGAGTTTTTCTGAAGAGGTGCCTCATTGGCCTCTTCAGAAAACGAAACTCCTCGAAATTCCACAACCTCATCCGATGGGAGAGGTGGATTAGTTGCGAAGAGTTTGGAATAGGTTTAGGGTTTTACGTCGGGCCCTAGACGACGGCTACTTTGGCCAACCGGACAACGAAGAAGTTTTGACCAAAGAGAATGATTTTATTTCTTGCGCATGCGTATGTAGAATGACGTAATACTCCGGGAGTGAGGTCGCTACAGTACTCCCCCGCCAGTGGTGAGGTCGGGAGGAGCGAAGCACGATAAACAAGAAACAAGAAAGAGAAGAGAAAGGAAAGCGCAGCATGTACAAGGCGGAACGGCAAAAATATAATAATATGATACAACATATGTACAGGCGAGAGCGCTGCGTGTATGAAATTTGTTTGAGACGTGGCAACAAAGGCCGAAACAAAATCAAAAATGCAGAAAGCGGAAATGAGAGAGATGCATGACAGAGGCAGTTTAACATGTCAGAGGTGTGTTAACGTGACAGAGGTGGAGAGCATGTCAGAGGCAGAAAGAAAGAAAAGAGGAAATGTACGCGTGACAGAGGAGTGTTATCGTGTCAGAGGCGGCTGCATGTTGCAGGCTTGGCGGGATACCAGCAGGAGCGCTGCACTGGGGCGAGGCGTGCCGACTGAGGCGGGGACAGATGGAGGCGAGCGCAGCTCCATGGGGTCCGGTGCCGGGCGTGGGCCTGCGTGCGTGCACAGTGAGTGAGCTGGTACGACGGGTGGAGGTGGCCAATTTCCAGCTTGAGGCCAGGACGAATACGGACGACGACGACTGGACGATGCCGTGGCAGGATAGCGGGGTATCCAGGTGGGCCGGGGAGGGTGGCAGGGGCCACAGCAGCTCCGAGGCGGATCCAGTGACGAGTGGTGGTGAGGCTCAAGTTTTACGTCAACAGCCGGCGATTGACGGGATCCCGAGAGTTGAGGCGAGCAGGAAACTGCGGCGGGCCGAGCTCAGGGATGGCATGCTCAAAACTCTGAAGAGCGCAGCGTCAGGGGTCACTAATTTAGGGTTTTACGTCGGGCCCTAGACGACGGCTACTTTGGCCAACCGGACAACGAAGAAGTTGTGACCAAAGAGAATGATTTTATTTCTTGCGCATGCGTATGTAGAATGACGTAATACTCCGGGAGTGAGGTCGCTACATAGGTACGTCATGTGTGCGTCGAGATTGTCGATCCGATCGGATGTCATTATCGCCATGACAATTCCACTGAAAAACTCTAAAATGATAGAAACCGTTCTATAGGGGCACTTCAACTAATCTCCTTTAAAAAATTGTTTGAACAGTAATGTTGATGAAGACTATTCGAACACGCCCTTAACCTCTCTAATGTGTCAGCACGCCTTGTCAATTGTGTGCTAAATTGTTCAAGATTATGCATGGTTTAGTTGGTGGCCTTTAGCGCTATCGAGCAGCGCTCAAGCTGTCTTTCATGCCCTGGAATGTCTCAGTACTCCTTGTCAGTCTTCTGCTAAATTGTGCACGTCTGACTGTTCAAGATCTGATTTAGTCCGTGCCGTGACTCTTTGAAATGCTGTCTCGATCTTGGGCAAGGGAAAGTCCCTTTGGGACTGGCATTACACTGTCATTATCGAAGCTCCGATATACTACAGTACAGTACTAGTATGCAAGCCCAGCCTAGCCAGGGGATTGTTACTTCAGAATTCTAAAAGTAACTATTACTTAGTTCAGAGCAGAGCCTACACGCTCTCTTCCATTGACACTGCAATAGTTCTGTTCAACTCATTTCACAATAATCATTCCAACGTTTCGTCGGAATGATTATTGTGATATGAGTTGAACTATTGCAGTGTCAATGGAAGAGAGCGTGTAGGCTCTACTCTGAACTGTTTATACGTGGCCAAGAACGCAAATGATGCGAGCGTCGAGACTGTGCAATCAGGTCACGAAGACTGGTAGATCTACACTTGACGTTTGAAGGTCACCGAACAGCGGACCATTTACTTAGGACAAGCTCCGCAAAGGGCTCGATAACCTCAAACGTCTTCGATGGAGTCGACCAGAGGGCAGAGGCCACCTTTCCCAACCCCGGTCAATGATAAAGAATTTATTATGATTGTACAGTACAGTAAGATCGGGCGCCGAAGAACACCTCGCCGAAGAACACCCAGGCTGGAAAACCGGCAAAATTTAAGAACAGTCCAGGCTAGAATTATCAGATTTAAGAACACTAGATCTACATGTACATTGTACGTAGATCTACATTGTACATGTATGGGAGGTGAGTACATGACTGTCATGTACACGTGTAAACAGTAACTGCTACATGTACAGACAGTCATTCCCATTTACGACACCCACTACTAGCACTAGGTTAGAAGTACTACACTTGTACATTGCACTACCACGTGTGTACATGCCAAACGTCATGACGTCACTCGACTCGCCGCGCGCTATGTGTTTGCATATTTTTGCATTTTGGGGGTCAAAATGCATTTTGTCCATTTTGACCCACTTTTGCCTAGTTTGGGCCAGGGAGTCGTAAAATACCGGTATTTTACGACTCCCTGCAAGCGATAGGTACTTCACGATCATCATGAATGATCACCATGGTGCCAAATGTCACGCGACTAGCTGTCGCCATTTTGTTACCATGGCAACGGTGGCATTTTTTGTGCTTTTTGGGTAAATTTTTGCATTTTCTTTAGAAAAAAATTTGATTTATAGGGGTTTTTCAAAACACTTTCCATTTCCATTTTAGACCAAGAAAAAACACATAATCCGGAAAAGCCTACCGCGCGCGTGTGAATAAGAACGGTCTGGCTAAGAACTTACTTTCCTAGGCTGCGCTCGAGCCCCTGCGTTCTTCGGTGCCCGATCTTACTGTAGACGGTCTGAAGTCCTGGTTTCAAGCCCAGAGTTGAACAGCAGTGCGGATTCGCATTTCCGGCTGCGTCCGAATATATGTGCGACCGGTCCAAAATGTTCCCACTCGACTCCATGCCAAGGCTAAAGAGTGACTGCAAAACCGGGGACAGGCTCGATAGCCAGAAACAGTGATTTCCGCAGCTTTTCCTTCTGATTTTTTCTGACGGATTCGTTTGAACGGCTCCTGTTTGCTCAGCTGGACATAATCATGATAATCATTGAGAACTTTCCGTTGACTTGTAGTGTTGGGATAAGGACACCCTGGGTAGATCTACTGACAGTAGCGAGGTCAGACGCGTGACCAGTTCACGGACTTCGCTTGTCGCGCTTGGACCATCCCCGGCCCATTGAAAATCGATGATGTCATGGCACATAGGTTTTTATTCGATTTTTCGATTTTTACGGGAGGCATCAAAACTGACCTGCGTTTGAACTTCGCTTGTGCAGTCTCCTTGCTCTTTTTGGGCGATTTCAAGTTTCCAGTCCTTTGGTAAGGATATGGAGCAATGCCTCCACCCGTTCGCGCGGCGTCCAGACGTTTCTCTGTCGACGCGCTGTCTCTCGCTTTTTGCCAATATTCGAGGGCGGGTTTCGGTCCTTGCGCCTCTTGTTACGCCTTAGGTTGTTGCTGCATCGTGTTCAGCGCCCCCTAATCCTTCGGACTACCAAGTTTCATTGGCGTAACAAGAGGCGCACCGACGTTATGGCTCCCGACTGGTGTCACTGTCCAGCAAGGAGGATTGCTTTGGGAAGGCATGTGCACCAATCTAAAAAGCAACAGAAGCAAGCGAATCGCCATCATTCCGATTAAACTTCGCTTGCGTCTGGTGTGCAGCATTTTGTATCTATTCAGAAGCTTGTTGGTGATGAAGGTAAGGAGATGGCTACTTCAGTCCCGGTCCCAGGTACTGTTTCGGAAAGCTATGTCTTTCTTACAAAGTTTTGTCCAATTGTATGCATCATTTCAGAAATGGAAACTATTTCCAAATTTCCAATGCTGTCAGTGTTACTCAATCAAGGCAACACTACAAATAGTTGTCAGCCAAACATAACCTGTGTGAGAGAGAAAGTGAGGAACGTTCACTTTCACACAGACCATGTCTCTAACAAAGTCTCTCTACTGTACTACTCCAGAACAAACAATACGTTCGAGCACAATTGTGTTTTCAAATTCCTGATCGTCTGCAGAAACTTGTCTTGAGAAAGCGCTTCTTCCGACATCATCCATCAACAGCAGCCACCGCTCCCGTTGCCACCAACTCGTCATTGGATCCCAAATATCTTACCATCACCGGTTCACAGCAAATAGTACATGCACTGGCGATCCTTGAAGAC